CCCCCCCCCCCCCCCCCCCCCCGCCGAATGCATGAAGGTTCATTGGGAGTAAAAGGAAGGTTGAGAACCTCTGGTCTAGAGGCTAGTAAGATTTCTCTGGTGTTTTACAAGTATATTATGTAGTATATTGTCATTCTGCCTCACCCCCTTCCCTACGTGGTGTTCGGAGTCACATTCCCTCCTTCCATTCGAATCAGTCAAGATGCATCCTGTGTAAGACAGTTTGATGCATGGAAGTGTGGGAGCCGATTGGGAAAATCGAGGCAAGCCTGTCCATTGAAAAATCATTTCATGAATTCTTTTTTGTATCTGTTTCTTCTTACTCATTTGGAAGAGCCGGATCACATGAACTCCTGTTCATTTCTATGGGTCTTTAGGCATAGAATATCCGAAAGGTATACTCTGAGTTGGTACATACACCAGATATTTGTCTTGAAGAAAGATATTGTCCAGTCATATTAGTAGTGTGTTCAAACGAAAAAACTTGTCAGAAGTGGGATTCGAACCCACGCCCGGATTTACCGGACTGCGACCTAAACGCAGCGCCTTAGACCGCTCGGCCATCCTGACTTCGATTTGTTAATCTTTGAGATCCTTGGAATAGGCTACATCCAATGAATGTGGACGATATTACAGGAACTTGCAACATTGGAATGCACTGTAATCTCCTTCCATCCCTTGTAGATTTCATTATCTCCTATTATCTCCCAGTACGAAACCGTCTTAACTGTCTGACGTGACATCTCCTTCCAGGCAAGCCTGTTTCCTCGCCGACAATGGATACATTCAACTGCTCCCCCGGTTCCGAACTCGGTCAGCGGTACAGGTTGCATTCGAAAAATGACATGGTGCGGAATGCTTTCATCGCGCTCGTACGAATGATCTGGGGCGGAAAGTGAACATTCGGCCGGAGGGTGCCGGCTCAAATGTCTGTTCTGCGGACTGTGCGCGAACTGGAGTTTTGTTCTATACCGTTATTGAACTCATACTCTGTGTTTTGTTTCCGTGTCGGTATCAGTCATTTACATCTCGTTCAACTTTCGATGTCTCCCCTCCGGATGGGACATTCTTCTAAAAGGCGAAGTTGTGTCCAATTGTGGAATGGCAATCACAATGGTAATCAACCCAACATCAATAACATGCCATAGTCTCTTGAATCAGGCATGCTAACGTGGAAATAATGGACACTTGCAAGCTCTATTGTTGTTACTATTCAACAAGGAGAGTTATTTTCCAAGAAGTCAGATTTTTTAATGGACGACACCTGGGCATTTCGAGGACTCCTGGCGACGCCTATGTCCAGTAATTATTACGATTTCAGTCCGATTCAGGACTTTGCACGTCAGTGACGAGGTTGAAAAGCTTCGAATTACTGTCTCATTCCACTCCAACCCATGATTCACCCATTGTATGATAATCTTGAGCCCCTGAGATTATGATGGGACGACCATCTTCACGCATTCTTTACGCGATAAAAGGACCTTTCCCAAGTCTGAAGGAAACGTGTCGGTAATGCTACTCAAACCCAAACTCATGGTTAATCCTCAGCGACCTGAACGTAGTGACATACCGCTCTGCCGTCCTGACCGATCATTTCCTCTGTCCGTGGTCCAATGACGTAAGATAATCGGTTGGGGGGGGGGGTGTCATTTCATCAGTGATGAACTTCTATTTCTCCTATATCTACGATGAGGTCACCGCCTTGCGGTCTTCGCCAGTGCGTCAGCAAACATTACGTGGTCTTCTGCATTCCTCGATTCAGATTATTCATGAGGTGAATGGAGAAACAGGATTTTCTCTGCGTTTCCGTGTGTATAACGATCCTGAACGTTGTTCGATTTTCATGGGTGAAGCGACAGAAACTTCCCCGCGTTTTATGTAATTCCCGCAAGCATTTTCTGAGCGGCGATAATAAATGGGAAAGGGCATGACATACTTCTCCATCGCGGATCTAAAATTGAAAGCCTCGTCACTGATGGAAAACCGTCTCATCACGTTGCGGAATCTCCAATGGCGCTTAACATTTTATTTCCCCCAGCTGAGAGGAAGTTTACGAAGGGTTCACGTGATGCTCTAGTAATATCGTTTGCCATTTCGTGCTGTTCCTGTTTTGCCTGTCCGGAGTGCCTTGTGACGTCGGATTGGCCAGCTCTCGAAGCCAATTTATGGATAATTATCCCGGAAGAACAATGACTGTCGCAGTCCCGATTCAAGATTCAAGATAATTAGTGATAACAAGAGGCGATTTCACCCATTTCGATATCACATGTAGAGGTCGAGCGTTCCTTAATTTTAGGGTAAGCCTAACCCTTTTAAAGCTAAATATTTTCGTATTTTTGTTTTGTTTTGTTTTGTTTTTTACTCTCCTAGATGCTTACTGCCTATTACCTAACGTCAACATTGCCCCCCACCTTTTGCATGGGAAGGACACGAAACATGACTCGTCGATCTTTGCTAGTACCTCGAGACAAAGTGGAATGCGAAAGATAGAGAAGGACGATTAGCTAACTACCTCGGGAATAGTGCAAATCGGCTCAGAGCCCTTTTTGCAAGTCGAAATGCGAATACGCGGCCGGTCCAACGGCTGTCGATAGGCATGACCGTGGTAGTAAGATTCCGGCGGGCAGAAAAGTCAGAAGGACTGATCGAAACAGTAAACTATACACCAACAGGCTTAATTTAAAGACTTTGTGCGTTACTCCATCTGTTCCGGATCTGAGGAGGAATTATATTGCCACCGAAAATGGGGGGTTTTGATGCACTTGACGCAGAGGATCATCATTCAAAATTCACTATCTTTCCTTTGGTTGGAATACTTGACTCGAAAACACTCCAGGAGGGGGTGAGGGGCTGCCCGTGGGGTGAAAGAAAATACCTGAATGAAAATCGCATTTTCAATCAGCTGGTTTATGTGTTCTCCGAAACCCACGGGGAATTGAGGCTTCAAATTTGCCAGAATGATTCAGTATGGAGAGGGGGAGAAGCAAGCCCGATCTCGTTCCTTTAGATGCTCTCAGAGAGGTTCAATTTTGTGAGGATTGGAAATGGGGCACCGCGTCCGTTGGTGTTCATACCGGTTGATGCTGATACTGATGCTGATACTGATACTGCAAGCGCCTCGTGTCTGATGCTCTTCGAGACCGATGTGATTTCCGCCTTTAGTCCTGCCGTTGTGCGAAAGGTATCTCCGTAGATTTTTTCCTTTAAGAATCCCCAAGTACAGTGCATCCGTTCGAATCGGAAGTGGGGAGCGAAAGAAATCGATAGAAGTGGGGAGCGTGAATGAAATCGGCCACCCCCGAAGCCAAGGGCGACTCTGCCCCTTTTTTGAGGGGGGAAGGAGATCAATGAATGCATGAAGAAAGGTATTTTTAGACTTTCGGGGAGTAGAGGGTTGAAAATGGAGGAAGCTCCGCCACTGGTTTCCTTCTTCACTCTCCTCGCATTTATCGTCGAGTTTCCCCTTTGGCCCTTGTGCCGCCTGACATGCTAATGTCTTAACTCTCTCGAACGGATGGACTTATAACTACAAGGATTGAGGTCTGGCGAGTATGGTGGCCGAGAAACGCCGAAAAACGACCAGGAAACCAATCTGAGATTGCAGGGTCGTTGAAGCGTTCCTGTATGTAAAAGCCAACAATGCATTTCCGCGTGTGGCCTTGCTCCATCTTGTTGGTAGAAAGCGATCGCAAAATTACACCTCATTCCTTGCACAAAGCTGTTTTTTTTTTCGAAAATAACGATTCACAAGAAACACGCGTTGACCTGTAGAAAACGCCATCTTAAAAATATTAGACGATAGTTCCGAATATAAAAAACAGCATAACGACTATATACAATAAAGCAAATTTCAAGTCTTTAACGCAAACCCCTCGTCATATATGAACTAAACAAAATAAGACGTCCTTTGTGAAGCCCCTCTACATGAACCCACAATAATTGCTCTTTTTTACGCAAGGATGCTAGATTTCTCTTAGTATTGCTTGTGAACTTACATCTTAACACCATAATGGGTAGGATAAAAAGACCTTCCGCATTTCGGCCTCCTGACTATCGATTCATGCCTCGCACCCGACACTGACCGAACGACAGCGCTTCCCGGAAGCGATTCTTGATTGGTCCCAAACGGCTGCAGTTGTGATAATACGGATTTAGTCTTAGTGTTGGAGTGCATATGGAGTGAATCGGGACCGTGAATGCGGATGAAATGGTGAACCTCAGCTGCTGCCTCCTCCTCCCCATCCTCCTCCTCGTCCGCATCCCGGGGGACTGTCGGGAGACGAGCGAGGAGGAATCACCGAAGACGGAATGCTGCCCAGGCCAGGAAAGTCATGCGGTGTATGACTCGGAGACGGGAATGGCCCGTTGCCTGGGCACTGGCCTCCCACCCTCTCCGTCAGACTGTGAGGGAAGGTCCGACTTCTCCCAACTCCGATCATCTCGATCTAACCGCAAACTCGACTCCGACCATGACCCGATCCCCTTGTTCAATTCAAATTGCCGCTATTACTTCAAGGTCAAGTTCGGGGAAAACAGCACGATCGTCAAGGCTTTTGTATCCTGCCCTAATCAAACTGTCCATCAGAAATATACGAGTATTAACCTCGTCCCGAAATGCTGCCCATGGGGAAAAAGTTACGACCTGGTTCAGGATAAATGCAGAGCCAAGCCCTCTCCATCCCCTCCAAAAGGGACACGAGATGAATATACTATCATCATCGACGACCTGACTTCCAACAACTGCTCCAAGATTTACTTGACTCCGGAAAGAAATCCGCAGGAGTATTTCGAATTCACGGAGACAGGACATTTGCATGTCCCGGCCAAGAATGCCACGTATTCGAACGGGGAATTTTGCCTAGACCATGAGCAGATCACTGATGGATCCTGGATCCAGCTGGCAAGGATCTGCAACCCTGAAGATAGGAAGGTCAAACAAGAATGTGAAGAGAAAGGTTGCGTCCGAAAATGCTGCAACGCGACGGATTTATTAAACGTTTCACAGGGGAGATCAGTATGCATGTCGGTTGGCTTGGATGACAGAGCTTTTCTAATTCCCCCTCTCATCCCTCCCTTCCCACCCTCTAATGGTACATATAACGGCAGTAATGTCATCACGATTCATCCAACATGTAATGGGAATGATATGACACGAATTATGCTGCAGCCGGTCAGCGCTGAGGAAACGAAGGCACGTTTCTATTTGACTCAGTCCTGGGGTTTGCAATCGAAGGAAACCCGATATTGCATCGACGAAACCGGGAACAGCAGCAGCACGATGGAGTCCGAGCTCCTCGTCTGCATGAAAGAAACTCTAGACATCCATGCGTTTTGGGACGAAAGCGGAGCCACGTTCATCGTCCATTCCGTGCTTCTCGTCGTGCTGGCCACTTTCCTGCTCCTCACCTTCTTTCTCTATCTGGTTTTACCCGAGATAAAGGGTAACTCGGAGACATACCTTCCCTCGTATGTTGGCTGTCTTGCGGTCGCCTGCGTCGCCCTCTTGGTCAGCCAGTTCGGCGCTCGCCACGGGATCCCTGACAAACTATGCTTCGCTACTGGTATCATAAAAAATATTCATTCTGTCCTTTGTTTACTTGTTAAAGACGTTAAACGTGGGCGCTTTCGCAAGGCAAACAATTTTCACAAGTACCACTTCATACTTTAATAAATTAGTGCTGAAAATTTGTAAAAGAGCTTATGGAAATTCTTCGTCTCTGGGAGTGACGAAATTGCCTGCCATCAGAAATAGACTTGCAGGTGACAGACGTTTCAGGGACGAAAATTAATGCTTAATTCGAATAATTAAAATTCGAATGCTTATTTTTCCTTTCTGGAGACCCTGCATGCTCTTCTCGTGAGGTCCTTCACTTTTTTATTCGCACTTGAAAGGATTCGTATCTGAGCGATCCTTTCCACGATTGCAGATATTTATTCGCTGCCTCCCTCCTTCATCATGGGAGCATTTCATATGGTTCGTCGGCATAATTGACTTCTTCCCGCTTCGTTCTTACAGCCGTGATCATCTCCTACAGCTGCCTCGCGGCATTCTCCTGGCTCAACGTCATGTGCTTCGACCTCTGGTGGAATGTGACCAACCCGTTCTCGTCTCTCGGGTGAGATGCACCACAAATTAGCCCCGATGAATGGATGAAGTCCTAATTGTCAGTATGATGGGGGAGGCGGAGATTCGTTTTTATTTTTTGGTCGTCGTTGAGTAGATTATGGAAAGTTATAGCATTCCATTACCTCAGGTTTTTTGTAAATTCATGGGGAACGTGTTCCAAATGAAGCATTAGAATCCACAATATCTGTTCCTGCGCCCAAATTTTCATGAAAAAGACATTTTAAAGTTACGGTTTCTAGCCAAATAGCACTCTGTGGGAGCATTTCCATAACTATGGCACTAGGTTACTAACGAGAGCCACGTTCCTAAAGTGGGTACATTTGCAACTGGAAAATGTTCTTCATGATTGCATAATGTATTTAACTTTTAAAAGAGAATTATTTTCTTCCAAATATTATTCTGGATATCAAGAGTAATCAAACAGTAAATCAATGAATCCTACATGCGGCTGGTTTGGGAATTCGCATATATTAGATACGCGAATACGCCATTGCCTTTCCTCAGCCCCTTCCCGTAGCAGCATTCGACCTCTTCTCATTTCATTCTGAGAGTGCCAACATGAACGAAGTTTTGGCGTGCTTTTTCCTCTTCCACAGCAGGGAATCGCTCCTGCAAGTTTGAAGCTCCATCTCCTCGGGGTTGTGGAGATAACTGATTCTCGTTTTCAGAAGATGCGGATTTCATCATGAATTCATTAGCCTTTGATCATCACCTCTGTAATCTGATTCCACACTAAGTAATTTGCTCCTCAGAACGCCCTCGATCTTCCTCTACATCTCCTTTGGATATTTGGCTCGTGTGAGCTCATGATAATTGGAGACTCTCCAATCGAATGCAAACTTTGATGAATTCTAGCGTCCTATTTTGCTCATAGGAGACGATATCAACCACGTTAGTATTGGACTAGGCTCTCATTTACTCGACATGGATGATGATGCACTCGACATAGTTCCCGATAACACTGATATTTTGGGAAATTTCCTTCCTGCAAACATCGCATATCTTGGCTCCGAATCGAAGTGATGGCAGTTTGTCAAACATCCATGGCAAGGCTGGCCTCAGATTCTTCTTGGATGGATATTTCGCCTTGTCAAATGGGTTGCAACAGGAAATCCTCTGCTGTGGTTCATTCTCCTTTTCCAATCAGGGACAATGAGGATGAATTGCTAAGTTGCTATGCAATATCGCAAGATGATGCACAGCAACTTAGCAACTGAGACATGAACCGGTGAAACAATGCTGAGGGAGATTGTAAATAACCTAAGGAGGGGGCAATTTCAAGAAGTTTTGGGTGAGATTTTGGAACTTTTGGAATATCTCTAAAACTTTCCAGAAGATTCCACCTCTTTTCTGGAAGCTTCCAGCACTTTAATAACTTTATAAAATGCTCCTAATAGTTCAGACAATTCTATTCTGACTAAAAATTTTGCTGAAACTAAATATATCCGGATATTTCTAATACATTCTCTTCGGAAATTTCGTCGCTCGCTGCCACATTATTGTTCCAGGTTGAAATTTTGCGCACTAATGCAAAAAGAAATGGCGACAGCATGGCTATTTCCCTAAGGAAATAAAATGACCGTTCTCTGCAATTAATGGTCGATTATAAGAAAGGTTATGCGCATTTAAGCGATGACGACTTCACCAAAAATTGGCCACTTTTTGCTACATTCACATTGCTACATCTCTGGAAACACTTCAGGTAGATAGCTGCCATTATGCATGGGATGGTTTTTCAGTAGAGGGTGAGCTAAATGGCTGTGCTGATTTGACATGGAATGACCATTTTTTCCTTCTTGTCTTTACCAAATGATGGCACATACAGTATATCCCATTTCGATAGCTATATGTAAACAACCGCTATCGAAGAGTTGAAATGCGCCAAAGGACGAATCTTCCCCATTTTCATATTTATTCCATTCCATTCGGCCATTAAAAAAAGAACCCCAGTCGTCGTAAAATCGTAAAAGTTATTCTTTGAAAATGTTAATGATCGAGTACTAAGTAAAGCCATTCAAAAATATTAGTTATGAGCCATTATGTTCATGCAGTTTCATCTGCAGCCTGCTCCCTCTGACTTCATATTTACGAATATTTTTCTGAATATTTTGCGTGACCCATCCTGCCATTTCGGCTGCAAATCCTTGACCAACCATTCATTTGCATTTGCATTTCAGGTTTCATCACATGAGAGTGCTTGAATACGTCTTCCTCTTTTCTCATTTGCACGATTGCCTGAAGGGACCCAATGATGCCTTCGGAAATGAAAAGGAGGCAGACGAAGAAGTGGATCCGTTACGCCCTTTATGCATTCGGGGTGCCGTCGGCCATCGTCACGATTGCTTGCGTCGTGGAATTCACTCGAGGAATCCTCCCTGACGTCATCCAGATGGGAATGGCTCGCTACCGACAATGCTGGCTCCATGGTATCCATGTCTAAGCCAGATTTAAGTAATGCAATGCTCACCGTGAGATGTCAGGGCTGATCAGCCCACAGCCGCTTTTGGTTGAAATGCGTGAGGCGTTCAGAAAGTATTTGGACTTTTTCCATTTCTGCCCTTGGCCTGGTCCGACATGCTTGCAAATTTGCACGCTTAACAGCCATCATGAGCGCAATGAATCATTCTGAACAAGAGCAAGCGCACTTAATTCTGAATATCACTGATGGAAGGTGACACGCAAGGACAGATTGGTTCCTTTGGAAAGAAGGAGGAATAACCTTCGACATATTTAAAGTTTCTCCGCCAAATGACTGAAGATGCGCCACGATCTAGTCGAATAAGTACCTGCACTACAGAAGAAAACATTGGAGCTGTTGAACGATAGGTCTTGAACACTAGACGAATCACACACCAGGAGCTTAATTTCGAGGTCGGAATCCCAGCTGGATCCATTAATGCCACAGCAGTCCTCCCAGAAGGCAACAGTCCTCCCAGAAGGCAACAGTCCTCCCAGAAGGCAACAGGCCTTCAAAGGCCTTGAGAAAGAAACTTGGCTCCACTTCCAAGACCCGGAGACGAATGAGGAATCCTAGCAGTGGAAGCATGTTGACAGCTCTCCGCCCGAAAAAATGAAAAACCTCGCCATAAGCTGGTAGGCAAAAGACGACAGTCTTCTGGGAACCTGAGGGCATTTTTCTTCTGGAATGGCTTCCGGAGGGCAAACAATCCGCAGGGAATATTCTACGAGCATCCTGTGAAAGCTTGACGGTGCCATCAGGTCGAACCGCAGAGGCAGTCAGAGTGCGCGCGTTCCCGCTGCAGCAAGCCAATGAGAAACCGCAAACCAGCGGGCAAACATCGAGTGCCACAGCTCATCCGGGTTTCCAGGTGCTCCATCGCCATCCGGGCTCACCGGATCTGGCGCCGGGCGATTACTGGCTCTTCGGTGTCTTGGAGAGGCCCCTCTGAGGAAAAAAACGTTTTCGAAGTCTGCAGGCACTCGGCGGGGCATCGGTGGGTTCGGCCTGCCCCTAAAAAAATCGCTCGTAGAGGGACAAAATTAACTTCCCGAACGTTGGCGCAAGTTTGTCGATTGGCGGTGACTTTCTTGAAATTTTACAACAATTCATTACAATAATTTTTTTGTTAAAATATCGTTGTTTATTCAAAAAGTCCAAATACTTTTTTAACGTCGCTCGTAATTTGCATGAGTCTTTATCCCAAATCCACTAATAGGAAGAGCAATGACATTTTGCTCAGTTTTATTGCTTTCTTAAATAGGTCATGAAGGGACCATATGGTTCTACTATGGGCCGATCGCCTTGCTCCTCGTGGCCAATATCATCTTCTTTGCCCTCACGAGTCGCTGCTTATTCCTCCACGCCAAAGACACGGCTCATCTGACGCGCAAGCCGGAACCCGAATCCCACAGCCGGAATCGAGAGCAGTAAGTTTCTACGATCGTTCAGATTTTTCCTCATCGGGATCGAAGTTGATGCGACTCTGTAGACATGAAGGCGATGTTCATTTCCCTTTTGTACGAAGGCTCTAAGTTCACGTCCAGTTGTTTTTCCAAGGTCTCTTCGTTGCAGGTTTTGGTTGTACGTGAAGTTGTTCGTGATGATGGGATTGAGCTGGGTCACCGAGGTCATCAGCTTCTTCGTCAAAGAACCGAATGAGCTTTTCCTTTTCACGGACGCCATTAACAGCCTTCAAGGACTCTTCATCTTCCTCATCGTCATCTGCAAGCGAAAAAACCAGCAGGTCCTCAAAAAGCGAATCGTTCTATCGTTCACCCGACGCAGGTCCTCTGCCCCGAGCGAGGCTGAAGGGTCCTGCCGCAGGTCCTCTGCCCCGAGCGAGGCTGAAGTGTCCTGCCGCTCTGGGATCGGCCGCCTGGGAATGGACGAAGTCCGGCCCGCAAGAGCGGAGAGAGGAGCTGGAGGGATCGCCAGTTCGCAATCCACCACGTCTGAAGGGTCCAGGAACGGCACTTCTTCGTCCTCTCTCTAACGTTTTCACCGGTTTCAATTGAGAGATGTCGGGATGGACCAAGAACAGCATACGAGGACTCCATAATTGCATCCGCCCCTCCCTCGCAGACGCCGCGCCTGGAGAAACTCGAGCATCGTCGCGGAAGCCAAAAAAGACTCGCCGCTATCGGCAGTTTGAGAGCGATTTTTCGCTCCAGAGAATGCCCGGCACCGTCTTGCAGTTCCCTCTTCAGGGGGAAAATACAATGCGTTGGAATTGATAAGCTTCGTTTGACCCGCTGTCCGGCGAAACGACATCGACCTGTGTGTGCACCAAGAAAATGTGAATCTGCATGTAAACCCTGTTTTGAATGTATACCATTCTTCAGAATATTTGAAGCCACATTCTTGTTTATATGCCACAGGCATAGCTTCATGAATTCATGTTATTTCATCATCATATGCTGATACTATGTACCAGCACATGACAATGTATCAGCATATGATAATCACCCTCGGTTACCTGGTCAACAACCGCGCCCTCCATGGGAATACAGCGCCATCTTGCGGAAAAGAAAATAGCCTCTTAGACTCATGAACCTCTGTCAACCATCAGCAAGATCCAACTATCCCTTGAAAAGTGAAAGTCGAAAATTCCATTGAAATCTGCGACGGTCGATCACAAGTAACGACCTCACTTGAGGCAGAATGAACCACCTCTAAGCACCTTCACCTCTAAACGAGTGCTTCAGGGGTGCTGCAAATAAAATGGCATGCCTTTCTACGCCTCGTAACTGTCAAATATCGATCGCGGATCCAACATAATTTTTTCTTACGATTGCATTGAGCTTTGTTGGATATAATGCAACGAATTTATTTTTTTTATGTTCTTCTGATTGATAGAAAATGGAAAGAAGTTTTCGTGAATCATGTTACAATGAAAGGAGACGATTTCCAAGTGTAGATCTTCCATCAATTAATTCTGCTCCGTTTTTAATTGTGCTTACAATTACAATACTTCGCTTTCTTTTAGGTAAAAGATGAGGGATATAGATATCATAGCATATAAACTCTAAAATCTATTCATAGAGTTGTTTTTTTTATTAGGTAATTTTTTCATGTCTCACGTTGCAGAGAATGTTACAGAGTACTCAAGAAATCAGAATGGTCCGTTTTTCCCATTCATTATTTTATATCATTCATCATCATAACAATGACAATGAAAAGAACAGGCATCAACCTACTAATAAACACGAGACACCCTTAATTTGGCTCAGAAAACATAATGGGACATTCCACGTGAAAAGGGACAAAAGCACCATTACAAAATGAATGGACAAACCAAAATGTCGACGTGGCCGTGAAAAGTTCATCCGAGAGCAAATAATTATCTCACGTAGATGTTGCTAAGTTGAATGGCAATTGCACAATTCAAGAGGGTTTTGGGTGCAACCAACAAGAAGTCACCAAATCGCGAATTTAAATATTTCTGCGAATGGAAGGACAGAAAATGCAAGGTGATCCCAGCAGCAGACTCCTGTTCCTTCTTTTTTTTTATCGTGCACACCAGTATCTCTCTTATATACTCCAATTATCTTGTTGCAGTCGACAGCTGCCAGGAACAATGAATAGGTGATATCCGTAAATGATGGTATGAATGAAAGTCATTTGGACGTGATATATGTGTTCTCTTGCATTAAAAGAGAAACATCAAAGTCTGCCGACGGGAAGCTTGCACGCTGATACGCTCCAAGTCACTACGTACATTCATAAACCAAGAGTCAAACGTACTGTTCGACTCTCGCGTCAACCTATGAATTTGCAACGTTAAACCGAACATGCGCTCATGTCTATGTATTACGACACAATCAATCCAAACTAGTGGGATATTAAAATGGAATGACTCTGTATGGCTAGAGAAACGGAACTGCAAGTCTCTACGGACGACCCGCTCGCGAACGAGGCTCCTGAAACCAAGAAATCCACAGCGAAGGTCAAGGACATGGAGGTCCCCCGAAGGAAGAAGCAGACGGCAGTCGGTACGAGACGGAAGACGAGGAAGGCAGTTGGCCCTGGGCCATGGTCGGGAGAGCATTGTCGTCCGCATTTTTGGGGTTGACGACGTCACAATTCCTGAATATCAGCCGCCGCCGAGCATATCAACACGAAGCAATACAAAAATGGCTCGAAGCAAAAGAAGCGCCCGGCGCGGCAAGGGTCCCCCAAGCAAGTTGTGTTTAAGATCCATAAGCACGATGTAAGAAGGAGGCAGCTGCCTTGCGCCCAAATTCCGATCCGCTGGAATTACGATGGCATGACTCCTTTTCAATGGACTGACGCCTTTTCAATGGAAGGATTGATTCCTTGCGGATTATGTAAAGGCATTAAAAAAAGAATGGTACTCTAGTTTGTGTTTCTGATTGGTTAGTTAGATGGAAAATGGGGGCTTCAAGGTACATTTCGCCGACATTGTCATTGTCGTTCGAGCTATTTTAGTTCGTTTCGAAGTTAAATGGAGCAGTGACACGATTATGGCGGCGCGCAGGACCATGCGAGTACATCGTGTCAGCCTGACGCATCTCTTGAAGGACGCCAGACAGGAAAGATGGTAAATGACGAATCAACTGGTTCCATTCACGGTGGAAACGCCCTCCCTCGGCTTCCCTGTTGTGAACCAATCGGTGCTTCACCCGGATGCTGACTGGAGGCCTCGCCGTCCTCATTCCTCTCTCGAGTGCCGCTCGGAGTTGACCGCGTCGCTCCCTCCGTCCAGGTTCGCTTGCTTCATACTCCTCCTCGTGTTTCATGGGTCGGCACGTCGAAAATCCGACGTGAACGTAATGACTTTGCACTCGGGAAGACGAAAGTGCTCTCTTCATGAGGAAGTTGTGCAGTTGCATATGTGCAAATGAAACTGCACCCTCCATGTCGGTGTGCGATATCGTCTCGCAAAGCGCAGTTACGTCTCGATGGAAATACATAAAGAGCGCTGCATTTGCCATTTGATTCGTCATCTCTTAATTTCATAATTCCCACGACAGATGAAAGAAACGTTAGAATTTCGCAGGGAGTTACGTTAGAAAAGAAACGTTAGAATTTCGTTTCGTTAACGTTTACGAAAGAAACGTTAGAATTTCGTTAGAATTTATCTCGTAAAAATACCGTGACTCCATTCGAATTGAATTTTCTATCTGTCCATGAAAGCATCTGGTTCCTTCTCGAAGATAGTCACAGCGCGGGGCAGCCACTACATCGTCATATAACGCATTCCCCGCGTTCACCACTCTGCAAGTAAAGAATTCCTGTCTCGACCTGAGCCGCACCTGCGGTTCCAGCAACTTTAGTTGAT